CCCGTGCACCCCCCCACCTCACCGGGCCCCATCCCGTGCACCCCCCCGCCCCATCAGACCACGCATCCCACAGTCCCCAGGGCCTGTGGTTCCACCGCCAGCAGCTTTCCTCCCCGGCCCCTCGGCCCCACTCTGGCCAAGCTGATGTCACTGCTCGCCTGGTCTCGGCGTTAGCCTGCCGTCTGCCACCCAGGCCCCTTTCTCAGTCCCCCCCCACTTTCCTCACACCCTGCTTCCTGTCCCTCAGCTCGTCCCTTTGATTCTACCCCCAAACTGCATTCCGGCTCCTTTCTCTCCTCTCCACCACGGCTGTCCCCACCTCGTCCGTGCCAGTGTCTTGTGTCTCTTTGATGACCAACGTGGTCTCCTCACTGGTCCCCCAGCTCTGAGTCTTGCCCCACCCAGTCCACTCTCCTCACGTCAGTAGGAGGGAATTCTCTGAATGGTCCGTTGTGCCATGCCATCCCTCTATAACCCTCCGTGGCTCCCTCAGTCCTTAGAATGAAGCCCAACTCCCAGCAGTCCTGCCCAGACCGGCCTCTCCCCCCACCAGTGCCTCCACCAGACCTGTCATCACTCCCTTGGTGTTTGGGGCTGGGCTGGGCCGGGCCATGCAGGACCTGGAGCCAACCCGATGCAGTGCTTGCCTTGAAGGCTCCAAGATGCCGGGCAGAGGGACACCGAACGGCCAAGCCCAGTGGGACACGGTCAAGGATGAGGGAAGCCTGCGACAGAGATCGTCAGAGGGGGCCTGCAGAGGCTGACAGAAAGGGTGGTCTCAGCTTCGGGTCTGGGAGAGGCAGGGAGGGAGGTGGGTGCGGGCAGGGCGTCCCAGGTGGGAAGGGCTGTCAGGTGAGGCCCAGTGCAGCTCCAGAGTCATTCGCTCAGATACCTGTTCAGGGAGAAGCTGCCCTGAGCACCTGCTGTGTGCCAGACGCCCAGCCAGAGCCCTTGGCGCCTCCCTCCACCCTCACAAAGGGCTGAAATGAAGGCTTTCTTACCCCCATTTCCAAACGGAGGGAGCCCCGAGGCCCAGGGCCCTGACGTGGTTTAGGCGTGACACGTGGCTTCTAGTGAGGCTCTGAGGCAGGTTTTTTTGCTTCCTTCCTCCCTCCCTCCCTCTCTCCCTCTTCTCCTTCCCCCCTTTCTACCCCTCCTTCCACTCCTCCAACAGCATCTTCTGGGTTCCCGCTCTCTGGATGCCTCACCACGCCTGCTTCACACACAACACACAGCTCCTGTTTCAGGGACACCTGTGTGCTCAGCCCAGCCCGTTGCTGGATGAATTGTTGAATGTGGCACAGAGAGGTTAAGTGACTTGTCCAAGGTCACACAGCCAGTAGGTAGCAGAGCCTGGGACTTAAGCCCAAGTGTCTGCTCCAAGCCCGTCCCCTGCCTACTCCCCGCCACTCCCCTCTTCTTCCTCCTCTTCCTTCTTGTTTCTCTCCCTCTCTCCCTCCTTCTTTCTCTCTCTCAGCTCTAAGTCAGGTCCATTGCAGCCTGTCAGATTCTTTGAGTGGCAGGATTCCTCTTCCCCTTCCCAGCGGTTGTAGAAACCTGTTTCTCCCGCCTGAGCAGAGAGGGGCTGAGATGAACCGTAGTTGTCTGCTTGGAGTAATCAGTCATTCTCCTGTGGTTTGTGTAGCCATGTGAGGAGAATAAGCCACCATATGGGATGGCTCCGGGAGGCTGGCGGTGTGAGCAGACCCAGACGTGGCCCACGTGCTCGAGGCTGCAGTGGATGAAGAAGTTCATTGTCATGATTTTGTGATGTGTGTTTAGAAAGTTTCCAACATGGAAATCCTGCTCCCGTGGTCTGCTCTGCTGCCACCTGCTGGGGTGGCCTTGGGCCTCCGCTGTCCCTCTCCGGCCTCAGTTTGCTTCTCTCTGCAATGGGTGGATGCCAGTCTTGAGACCACGTTGAGCATGAATGGTCTGGGGGGCTCGCAGCTGTTGAGACTGCTCCCTCCCCATCATGCCTGGTCTACTCGGGCTTTTATACGTGGGCTCTCCGTGCCGCCCTGCAGGGGAGGAGAAGGGGAAGCAGGGGAGGATGAGGCTGCAAGGCCCCAGGCAGTGCAAGCTGGAGCCAGGCTTCCCTCCCGGAGGCTGAGGCAGGGCAGGGTGGGGAGAGCAGGGCAGGGTGGGTCCAGGGCCACTGTGTCTCTGAGATTGCAGAGCTGCGGCCTGGGCCCCGTCATCGCCCTCCTGCTGTCTCCCCTGCCAGGCTTCCTGGACTGGGTCCCCAAGAAGATGCAGCGGGTGGGCTGCGTGGAGCTGCTCAACACGGTGCAAAGGCGCGTCCAGCCGCGGCTGCACGTCTTCGGCCACATCCATGAAGGTCAGTGGGGGTGGGGGCCTTACCTGCAGGGGGGCGGGGCGCCTCACTGGCCCTTCAGGGGGGCTGTCTCACCTCCCTTGAACCCAGTCACCGCCTCCCTGACCAGAGGGAAATAGCCCATTTCCTACATACACTTCGTAAATGCCTGTCCCCGTGTCGGCTGTCAGTTAGCTGTTGCCGAAATGTTTTATCGTAGGAAGATGGAAGAAAAGTCTAGCAAGACTTAGAAATAAGTTTTACTTCCTTGGAGCCCTGCAGCTCTGCTGTGCCTCCTCCGCCCTGGGAAGTCTTCGGAGATGGCTGGGGGCTTTTTGGAGGAGGGGACGTTTGGATGTGACACGGAGGAGGTGTTCGAGTCGGGGGCGCCCTGTGAGCTCCTTACAGAGCAGGTGGCCCGTCCTGTTGCTCACATCCCTACGGCCTGGCATGCAGTAGGTGCTTAATGGATGGGGAGGGCTGCCTGCCTGCCCAAGGGGCTTTATTGGCATCCCCCCCCCCCGCCACCGCCCCCCACACACAGACAGCCGTGAGGTTCTGCCTTCTGTCCTGGGGGCAGGACCCCTTGCTGTGTCCACATCACCTGGGGAGAGTGGGCAGGGTGGCCGTGAAGGTGACTGGTGATGTCGGCTCCAGCCGTGACTGCCCCGGCCTGTCACTGCACAGGGCTTACCTCATGAGACCTCAGGCTTCCTCACTGGAGTCTGATTTCACCAGTTTGCTCCTTTTGAACCGTTATCCCACCTGTCCAAGGCTTCCTGGTCCCCTTGTCCCCTGCCAGGAAGCACATGGTTTTCCCCCAAGCTTGTCTCCTGGCCTCCTGAACCTCTGTCTGCTTTGGGCCAGGGCCCCTGGGGCTCACATGGCTTGGTCCACATCCAATCACTTTCCTCTGCATCGCGCTGTCAGGGGCAGGCGTGATCAGACCTCTCCAGCCCCAGAGAGCTCACAGACTCCTGGGCAACAGATGAGCCGTCAAAGGCAGACTCTGAAAGGTCGTGGGAGAGATGGACAGCTCTTGTGCTGTGGGATAATAGTAACGGCTGTCATTTTCTATAGATCTACTGTGGGCGTGTAGTGCCCTCAGATGCAAGGTTGTGTGTGATCCAAACCACACCCCTGCATGATTGTACAAGAGAAATGCAGGCTCCAAAGGATGGGTAGCCTGCACAGAGGAGGGGAAGTGTCCCTTTTGGTTTGGAGGTGAGCTGAGCTCAAGGTTGAGGAGGATTCTGACCAGTAGATGTGGTGGGAAGAGGGTATGTTTGGGGACAGAGGTGAGGAGAAGAAAGTACATGACAACGATGGTGGGGATGATAATGATGGTTACAATGATGGTAGTGATGATGGAGATGGTGATGATGACGGTGGTGATAATGACAATGATGGTAATGGTGATGGTGATGATGGAGGTGGTGATGATGGTGATGGTGATGTTGGAGGTGGTGATGATGATAATGGTAGTGATGGTGGCGATGATGAGATGGTGATAGTGACAATGATGGTAATGATCATGATAATGGTGGTGATGATAATGGTGATGATGGTGATGGAGCCACGTGGTGATGGTGATAATCATGGTGATGGTGATGATGATAATGGTGGTGATGATGGTGATGGTGATGATGGAGGTGGTGATGATGGTGATGATGGAGGTGGTGATGATGATAATGGTGGTGATGATAGTGATGGTGATGATGGTGATGGTGATGATGGAGGTGATGATGGTGATGGTGGTGATGGAGGTGGTGATGATGGAGGTGGTGATGAAAATGGTGGTGATGGTGATGATGGAGGTGGTGATGATGGAGGTGGTGATGATAATGGTGGTGATGATGAGATGGTGATAGTGACGATGATAGTAATGATCATGGTGATGGTGATGATGGTGTACGGTGGTGGTGATGGTGATGGTGATGATGTCAATGATGATGTCTCACCATGTGCTTTCCAGGCACTGGGCCGAGCATGTGAATTATTATCTCATTTGCTGCTCACAGCAGGCTTGGGAGGAGCATCTGTCATCGTCACCATTTATAGATGAAGAGCCTGTACTGGATGGTTTCAGTAGCTCGCCCCAGACATCTTCAGCCCCTTGTGGCTGAGTTCCCTCTGACTACCACACTCACCAGACCACCCTCACTGCCCTGGGTCCTGGTGTCACCTCTCAGCCCTGACAGCCGTGTGCTTACTTTCTAGGGTACGGGGTCATGGCGGATGGGACAACCACCTACGTGAACGCATCTGTGTGCACCGTGAACTACCAGCCCGTGAACCCACCCATAGTCATTGACCTGCCCACACCCCGGAACTCCTGACTGCCCCCACGGCCCCAGCGCTTCCCACCCGCATCAGCTACGTACACCTAGCTGAGAGCACGGACCTCCAACCCCCCTTCCTTTCATGCAGACAGCCCGTCCGGCTGCGGGGACCAGCCCAGCAGGCGGGCTGAGGCCTTGGAATGAAGAAAATCACCCCTGACTCTTCAGCCTTCTGTCATTTGGAGTCAGGACCCTGCAGGTCCGTCAGGGGTTCTGTGCTCATCACTGATTTCTGCGTGTCCCTTCCGTGTGTTCCTTGTTAAAGGACCTGCTACGCTCGTGGCCCTGTCCTGCTTGGGAAGTGACTGAATCTTTATCCTTCTCCGTTGGACACCCTCGTGGGTTTGGGAAGCCGCTGCTCTTGGACAGATCCTGGGAGTTCTGGCACAAAGTCTCCTTCTCACCGAGGGTCTGTGTGGCTGCAAGCCTCAGGGCTCGGGGGTGGGAGGGTGTGTCGTAGCCTGAGTGCAGGCGGCCCTTCCGCTCCTTCCAGGCATCCGAGGGAACGATCAGGGACGTCTCAGGAATCGGGCTGCACCTGGCCGGGCCGACCAGCCCTTTGCTTCACTGATACCCCGTTTTCTTCCTGTGGGCATTTTTGCTGATGTAAACTGTGGCCTGAGCATCCCGGGCACCCGCTCGGAGCCTGGACTTGGGGGGTTGTTTCTACGGAACGAGCCTGATGAGGGCCCAGGGCCAGCTGGAGGGTTCCCAAGTCCTGGATGCCCCTGGTCCCCTGGGGGCTGTGCTGCTCTGCAGAACTCAGAAGGCTGAGGGCTCTGCGGGCCGAGGCTGCCCTGTACGCGCCCATATGGGTGTGGACACACACACACACACACACGTGTGCTCACACCCCCCTCTTAATTTAATAAAGTGGACCCCGTGGTTCTCATCGCCCTCGACTGGGTCCTGTACCCCGGTGGGATATCCCTCGCCCCTCGGATTTTGGCTGCCGTGCCCACAGCCGAGGGAGGCTGAATGGTTCACAGTCGTGCTGCCATGTCCCTGGGTGCCAACCGGCGGCCCCCACGGGAAGCTGGCACAGAGACAGAGATGGGCTTCGGTTCCGGCAGCTCCACCCAGGGCGGGCTTCTTTTTCTTCTTTAAATTAGGACTGGGGGGTTGGGCTGAGTCTCTGATGGACAGAGAACCAGCAGGGTCTCGTTGGGGTGAGGCCAGTGAGGCAGGATTGGCACGTGCAGGGTCAGATTCTGCCTTTATTTAAAATTTGGATATTTTGTTCATCATAGATTTTTTTTCCTGCATTAATTTTGATTTTTAAAAACATTGCATTAAAATAGTATCATTTATCTCCATCTATGAGCTTTTTGGCGCCCCTTAAGTTGTACACCTGAGAGGAGGGCCCTGCTCACCTCCCCCTTGTCCCAGGCCTGGGACCAGCATTTAATGAGCCCTTTGCAGATATGATCTCATTTCCAGCAGTCTTGCAAGGTGGGTACTGCTGTCCCCCTTTTGGAGACGAGGAGATTGAGATCAGAGAGGTGAGGTAACCTGCCTGAGGGTGCACAGCTCAAAAGAGGCAGAGGCAGGATTTGTACCTTGCTCTCTGGCTTCACAGCCCCTGCTCTCCCACCACTCAAAGCTCCTGCCCTACAAGGCAATGCACGGTCCAAGGCTCTTTTTTTATTAAGGGTCCTATTCAGCACCTGTCTGGTTCATTTCTCATGGAGAGCCCCTGGAGTCTTGGAGGACCCTGTTCTCTGTGCCCAGGATCCCAGGAGACCATGATTCCTTCCCTACTCAAGTGGGGCTCCCCATGGGGCGAGGGGCACCATCCGGGGAGCCCAGTAGCAGCATCACGTTGGCCGAGGCCAGCTTTGCTCCGCAGGGTGCAGGGTTTCAGGAATCCTTTTTGGCCCAAGTGGTTCCTGGTAGCCGGGGATGTTTACAGGGTCTCTGGGGACACCTCTGACGCACGGCATGTGTGTGAATGCGTGGGGGGAGAGGACTCCAGGCCCTTTCAGTAACCTCTACTGAATTTCTATGCGGACCAAGAACTATAAACTTAAAAAAAAAATGGTTTTTTTCCTAAGGTACCTTCAGAATATGGTGTATTTTTATGTGGAAAATAAAAGTTATGAAGGCAGCTGTTACTTTAAAAGAAAATTCATTAAAAGTCCTTGAGGTATGAAAGATGATGGCATGCTCCTCAATCATTTCGGCATAACTTGATTGTGGCTGTAATTTTTTTGTCAAGCATGTCAGACAATAAAGTCTTTGTAAAAAGAAAGAGAAGTCCTCCGGGTGCCTCTTCCTCTGTGTCTCCGGGTGTCGTGTGGGGCATGTAGGGGAGGAGTGGCGTCCTCCCGGCCAAGTCCTGAGTCCTGGACTGAGTTCAGAGGCCAAAGACCTTCCGTGTGCCAATAACTGGCATCCTTCTGCTTGCTCCAGCTTCCCTCAGGGGTGGTTGGCACGTGCAGTTCTGTGCCTTGTTGTGTTCAAATTGCCGGAGCACCTCGTCCCCCCAAAACAGAATATCTCGAAATGGCCTTAGCTCTGGCCTCTTCTCGGAGCAGCAAGTTCCAATCCAGCCCTTGTCCAACTAAGGGTCCTGGTGTTGCCCAAGAAAAATACTGGCAGGTGTAACAACTCCAGTTCCAAAGCTCCCTGTGCTGTAGCAGTTCTGCCATTTTCATCCATCCATCAACCCATCGATCTATCCACTCATCCATCTACCCAACTGTTCACTTACGCATTGATCAATCCGTTGATCCGTCCATCCATCCAACCACCATCCATCCATCCAGCCACTCACTCACCCACCCATCCAGCCAGCCCACAAACATTCACTGAGCACCTCTCTTGGACCTGGCTTGGAACAGGGATGTGGCAGTGGTGGTAGTGATAGATTTAGGAGGTAGGGGCGTGGGGAGACAAGGATGGTAATGGGTGTTGGCTGCCCGTCATGGAGGAGGCACATGGGGCAGGAAGAACAGGTTGGAGGAAGGGTGTTGAATTCTGTTTGGGATTCATGAGCTGGAGGTGCCCTTGGGATATGCAGGGGGAGGTATCCAGTGGCCGGGGACAGTGGCGGGGGGGGTGATAAATGGGCCTGCAGGGGAGGAGCCTCTCTGGAGACCTATATTTGTGGGTCATAACCAGAGCCATGGGGCTGGGGGAGCAGGCTGAGGGAGCCTGTGATGGCGTCAGCCCTCGATGACCCTCTCCTGTCCTCAGACTGGCCCACGTGTAATACGCCCTTCCAAAGAGTTCCCCTCCACCAGAGCCTCACAGGTGCCTTCAACGACCGGTCCTGGGCCTTGGGTCCCCGTCCATAGCCGGTGGAGAGGAGCTGCTCTATTTGAGGCACCCCTTCTGCTACTCTAGGCCATTGTGTACCTGAGCAGGGGTCCCGGGCAGGGGCAGGGACGCACCGTGGCTGCTGCCGCCTCTGGTAGTGCTGTCACATTGCAAGCGCTGCTTAAGCGCCTGGTACCCGCTCTGCTGACAGGCGGCAGCTGCTAAGCTCTGAGCCGTGTGCTCCTGCTGCCTTCAGTGTAGACGGGCTCTGATGTGTCCGGGGTTTACACAGTGGTGCAGGTGGTTCAGCACTCGGGCCTCACTCATGCTTTACAGCCATCTTTCCCCAGGTGCCCCCGTGGCCTGATGGGACGATACAGGATGTGTCCCTGGTGATGCTCCTATTGTCCCTGGGAGCCCGGTGGGCAAATCCAGCGAGCTGCCTCTACTCCCTCTGCCTCCGCCCTTATGGGGAGCTCGTTCTCAGGGAGCCCAGCCCCCAGCTGCTTTTTCTTGCAGTTCAGCTTCCATGAAGCTGGGCCTTGAACCTCCACTGGGACCAAGTTGCCAGGCCTTTTTCTTCCAGGAGACCCCTGCTCCACCCTCCTGAATAAGCTAGGAGAGGTGACAAGCTCTGTGGACCCAGGCTTCATCCAGTGCTCTCCCCTAACGCCACCCACAGCTCCTAGCTGGGCCCAAACCTGCCTGGCCAGCTGGGGGTCTCGTCACGGAAGATCTTAGACACTCCAGAGGGCCCTCAGCCCCACCCTCCCCTTGAAGGCATGGACTGCGAAGTCTTCCACGATGTGAGAATTAGGCCCTGCTGTCTGGAAGCTCGAGGAGCACTTTGGAAGGCTCATCTGATCCCAGGAAAGAAGCTGAACCCTTCAGCTGTTACATGCTTGGGGTCCAGTGAGCGGCAGACACAGTCAGGCTTGAGGACCCCAAGGAAGATCAAACCCAGTGTGCAGGGGAGATCAGGGAAAACCTCCTGAGAGGGAGCCTGGCTGGGCCCTGAACAACAGGAAATGATTTCCCTCTTTTAAAAAAAACTTCTTGGGCTTCCCTGGTGGCGCAGTGGTTGAGAGTCCGCCTGCTGATGCAGGGGACGCGTGTTCGTGCCCCGGTCCGGGAAGATCCCACATGCCGCGGAGCGGCTGGGCCCGTGAGCCATGGCCACTGAGCCTGCGCGTCCAGAGCCTGTGCTCCGCAACAGGAGAGGCCACAACAGTGAGAGGCCCGTGTACCACAAAAAAGAAAAAACAAAAAAAACAAAAAAAACAAAAAACTTCCTATTTTGAAATAATTTTAGATTTACAAAGAGTTGTAAAGAGGGTACAGAGAGTGCCCACACCCCCTTCATTCAGTTTCCCCTAATGTTAACATCTTATATTCCTATGTTACACTTATCAAAACTAAGAGATTAGCAGTGATATAAGACTATTAGATCTTCATTTGGATTTTTTTTTAATAAATTTATTTATTCATTTGGTTGTGTTGGGTCTTCGTGGCTGCACGCGGGCTTTCTCTAGCTCCGGCGAGCGGGGGCTACTCTTCATTGCGGTGCGCGGGCTTCTCATTGCGGTGGCTTCTCTTGTTGCGGAGCACGGGCTCTAGGCACATGGGCTTCAGTAGTTGTGACACGCGGGCTCAGTAGTTGTGGTGCACGGGCTTAGTTGCTCCGCGGCATGTGGGATCTTCCCGGCCCAGGGCTCGAACCCGTGTCCCCTGCATTGGCAGGCGGATTCTTAACCACTGCGCCACCAGGGAAGCCCCTGGATCTTTTTCATTAACGTCCCGTCCACGAGACCATGTTGCATTTAGTCATCGTGCTTCCTTAGCCCCCTGTGGTCGGCGATATCTTCCCCGCCTTTCCTCAATTTTCATGACCTTGAAAGTTTTGAAGAATACTGACTGTTTTGTAGACCGCCCCTCAAGTTGGGTTTGTCTGATGATTTCTCATGATTTGTCTGGGGTTATGTGCGGAGATGATGTGTCCTTCTCGAGGCATCGTATCTGGGGTAACAGGAGACCACCGCGACTTATCACTTTGGCTGTTAATCTGATGGCATGGTTACGGGATGTCTGCCAGGTTTCTCCACCATAAAGATACCAGTTTTCCTTTTCCATACTCAGTTTGTTAGAAACGAGTCACTAGCCCAGCTCACACTCAGGAGAGGGGAATGAAGCATCCAAGAACGTGGACGTACGATAAGATCACCACAGTAATGAACACCTATTTGGAGGAGGCATTTCAAGGCTATGCAAGCCTCCTAACGTTTTGCCCACTAATTTTAGCAACCATCCGTGGACCTTGCCTGGATCAATGGTTACCGTGGTGTTCTCACAATGATTTTCTATTTCTTTTTCCCTCCTACATTTATTATTTGGAATTGTTCTGTAAGGGAGGTTTGTCCCTTCTCTGTCATTTATTTATTTACAGCAGCATGGGTATTCTTTAGGTTAGAATCTCATGCTATCATTTATTTCATTGGTCAAATTGTTCTAACTGTCCATTTGGGAGCCCTTTCGAATTGGCTCCTGTGTTCTTTGGACATATTCCTATTTTTTTGTTTGTTCGTTTCACTCTCTTGCTTTCTGCTCCAGGCTCACCTTGTGTTTCTCTCACCCCAGTGCTAGCATCAGCCATTTCCCCATAGAGTTCTGGCTCCTTTTATTTAGAAACTAAGATCTGGATTGTAGATGGACTGGTTGCTACTCTCACTATTTCTAGACCCTCTTAGTGGCCAGAGCTAGGAAATATTTGTAGTATACTAATCCATGTATACATACACTTATCTACCCCTGCCTCTGTATCCTTCCGTCCATCCATCCAGCTATCAGCTATTTATCTTAAAATAAGCATTAGTTCATACTGACAGCCTCCCCTCTGACGCTAAACCAACAATGCAGAATTTACTCTTGCCTTGCTGCCTTGCCCATTTGTAACTTTTTTCTTTGACAATCAGAGCCTGGCTCCCATATCTACAATCAGTTTAGGTATTTGTTTGACCCTAGGATAACTACAAAGCACATAGTCTCAGAACTGCAGATCTGTACCCCTGTAAGAAATATCGTTACCAACCAGAGAACAGGGTTCATGTGCAATCTTTTTGTCTTTAGCTTTACGGTCTAAACTCTGCTTTCCAAGGTTAAACTGGTCAGCTCCTTTCCCCCCACCTAATCAGTGAGGTTTTGTCATATACCTGCAATACAATTAGATCCTTTAGTCACAGTCTGCATTCCATCCTGAGACTCCCTGACACACTGATTGGCTGTTTCAAGTTTGCATACAATAGAGTTCACTCTTTGTAACGTACAGTTCTATGGGTTTTGACAAATACTTAGAGTTATGTATCCACCACACCAGTACGCTAGGGAATAGTTCCGTCACCTGAAAAATTCCTTTATTTGGCCCCTTTTTAATCACACCGTTTTCCAAAATAGCTGTATGCTTTTGTAATCCGACGGGCAGTAAATGAGTATTCCTGTTGGTCCGCATCCTCACCGGAATTTGGTATTGTCAATTTAAAAATTTTAACCAAATCTAAAAAAAGGCTACAAATGAATCTAGCTACAAAACAGAAATAGAGTTACAGATGTAGAAAATAAACTATGGTTACCTGGGGTTAAGGGGGAGGGAAGGGATAAATTGGAAGATTGGGGTTGACACATACACACTACTATATATAAAATAGATAACTAATAAGGACCTACTGTATAGCACAGGGAACTCTACTCAATACCTGTAATGGCCTATATGGGGAAAGAATCTAAAGGACAGTGGATATATGTATATGTATAACAGATTCACTTTGCTGTACACCTGAAACTAGCACAACATTGTAAATCAGCTATACCCCACCCCCAATTTTTGTTTAATTTAAAAATTTTTAACCATTTGAGTATTGTTATATCTCATTGTGGTTTTAATTTCCATTTCCCTGATGACTAATAATGTGGAACATCTTTTT